AAGGGGGGCTGTGTCCTCCAGCCATTTGAGAGACCCCGCAGGGCTATCCCTGGTGGACTTTTCCACTCTCCCTTTATTCGAATAAAGTTTTAGGACTCCTCTGTCTCCTTTGTGGAGATTCGGCTCTTAACAGCAACATTTTCTGCACACTACTTCCCGCATTGCTTTTATCCTTAAGTGCTATTTTAAATTAGCCAATTTTTATGTGCAGGAGATCAAAACAGTTTTCAAAGTGACTGAGAACTCGAGCTTGGCGGCGCTTCCGCCATAGCAGAGCCCATGGTGCCCATGCCGCTCCGGCCTCCATGCCCACCTACATCGGCAGCAGAGGTTGAGCACGAGCCAGAGGCACAAAGCGGTACTTGTCGGAGTCCCAGTGGCGCCATAGGGTGCGCAACATGGTGCCAGAGCGGTGGTGGCTCCCTCCTTGGCCAAAAGTCCATATTCAGCTCCCTGGAAGGATGGAAGGATACAAATGGAGAAGGTAATCCCTTATCCAGGAAAAATACTCTCTCTCTTCCCCCCCCCCCAGCTTCTGTATGAAATGTGTAGGACATCCTCCTAAGTGAGGGGGTAGAGAATCAAATTAAGGGAAACAAAGTCCTAAAAACATAATCCTGTAGGCTGCACAGCCAGTGAAGACTTGTATCCTGTAGGGATCAGGCACAGCTAGATGTGAAAGTGTTTCTGTTCCCCCCCTCCAGCAAAACACACTCTCTGAAATTAAGGAGGTCCTAATAACTTTCTTCTTCTCTCTCCCTTATGCTGGATACTGATCCTAGTCTTCAATGTTAGTTAGAAACTGCCAGCGAAGTTAAAAGTTACTGGAAAAAAAAAGACAGAACCCGTCAACATGCATCTGACAAGCTTAAGAAATTAATCATGATAAGGTTGTGTTTGAGACTTGATTTTGGCGCAAATAGATAATGCAAACCTTAAATCACTGCTGAGGTTTATTTTCCCCTATCTGGATCTGAATTTTTGCCCAGAGTTCAAGATTTTATTAGTCAGGCACACCAAAGCAGTAAGGGAAGATTGAAGACTCACTTCTGGTACAAGCCATGGAAGTATTTATAAATGGCTTCTCCCATTTACTGCATATTCACTTCTATCATTGATCTGCCACATCTTGTTCAGGAAAAAAGGAATTGAAAAACAACATGCTATATAAACTTACTTAAGTTGGGGGGGGGGGCAGGAAACACAGTATGTCAGGCTGAGCCTTGGCCCTAGGCTGGGTGAAAGTGCTTTCTTGCCATCTCCTGGACTTTTTCAGTAATGACATAGGGAGTCTCATTTTGCAACTGAAATTCTAAATTTATGTAGCTATGTATTAAAGTTTTAATGAGAAAATACCATTCAGTTATGCCACAGAATATTCAATACGTACATTTTTGTGTCTCTTAAAAGTGCAACTGTCATATGGCTGATTCTGCCCAGTTGGAGCCATAAGAGAAAGCTTAATTACAGAAATACTGCATCTACTTCTGAGTGTAAAGGTAGAATAAACACGTACCCAAGCTAAATACTGAGAAAATATAAAGAGGAAATACACAATCCTCACAACAGTGAGCTCTGAAAGCCAAAGTTACAGTCCACAAGAACTGACAAAGCTGAAACGCTGTCAGACCAACCTGTCATCACCAGATGGGACCACTGGCAACAATCCCCACTGCAGATATTAAAACGAGCACCACCTGCTATCTGCCTGTGCAAGTATTTTCTTTGTAAATCAAGATATTTGGAGAATAAATAAGCATCTTTGATATTTACTGCCAAGTGCATGGCACAGGCGACAACCTGCTTTTTCCTTCTTCCTGAAAACGAGATATTAGTGACACCAAGTAATATTCCCACTACCGCTGTGTTATAAAATGCAAGAATTCTACAGTAAATTAAGTGAAGAAAATCCCACTTGATTTAATCTTTTATTTAACTCGTCATGTATTTTTCCTGCATTCCAGCTTTTTTAAATTGTATGTTAGAGCTTAACTGAAGACTGTTGTTGTGAAGTTTCACTAGTGAACAGATCCATTAATCTGCATTTGCAAAAAATCACATGAGTTGGAGCATATGAAGAAATTGTTCCTTCAAAATGGGGAATTCAGTACAAAACAGACTGCAGAACACTTGAGCTTAATTTTCAACCTTAAAATGACAAAAAATTCAGAATAAAGACAGCAGCTGGAAGAAGTCCTACCACAGCTATACATTGCAGATTACCTGAGTGTGAGAAAGGCTTGCCATGACTGCTACTTAAATGAGAAACAAACACTTCATTGAAAACCATAAAATAGCACATTAACTTCCAAGACATACCTTAAGGGCTCCAGAACTGATCTAAACCAACTCCACTTACCTGACTCAGCATGAATAACTAAACTTCTGTAGAAAGGCAAAGCTGTCATAAGGTGTTTGATCTAAAGACATAAGCAAACCGAGGTTCATAGAGAATTATCCTATGAGAAATTCCTATCTCCATTATCAATTAAATTTATATCTTTGTTGCAACTCTCTCTTAGGTCTTTTAGAAATACTAATAAACACATCAGCCTATATTTGAGTCATTTCATCCCTGAAACCAAATCTTGCTGTATGAAGTATTGCATGTGAAATGTGTGGGAAAAAAAAAAAAACACACACACACACACACAACCAAGGAAGTACACCAGAAATACTTAATTCACATTGACCTGAAAACACATTACAATTTTTTTTTCAAAAACTTTTATTTAGTATAAAGACAAAAAACACCAAAATAGGTACAAATTATACTATATAAAATTGGTTCAATGGGGTAAAAACTTTTAATTAAAATATCTTGATATACTTAAAATAACAAAGGATACAATGAAGCCAAATTTCTTAACCTAGAGATTTCTGTAAAATTTGCTTGCACAGTAAGGTGATAATAGAAGTTTGCCCTTAAGCCCTGGAAGCCTTAGGAATCAGTCACGTGGCAAATATAATTTCATTGTGAAAGTGAACTTTGGTAGAAGAAACTATAGGACACCTGAGGTAGTAGAAACTGGAATAAACAGCAGTAGACATTATTTACAACTTAAGTACCAAATAACATTAAGAACAAAAAAATAATTACACAATACAATTTTCAGTCTAGCTTTGATCCAAAGAAAATAAAAATATTACTTTACATCTGCATTTTAAAAACACCACAATTACCAGCAAGCTGAGGGAAATGGAAACAAACCCAAACAAAATGCATTTGGACATCTAGAGGCAGTTTGAGTTTGAAATGTGGTAGGCATGGTGATCTACAAAGGAATACTGATTAGCTGAGGTTCATCAGTTTATACAGTTTACATTTCTGCCAGAAACACAGTATTAATCTGACAACTGATCTTCCAGTACATGAATTGGTAAGAGTGCATCCTTTAAAGCTTGCACATAAAGACTTGGAAACAATTTTATTAGAATGAAAAATTCTAAAATGGTCAAAAGTAGTCAAGTACAAAACATTCAGAGCTACCAAACTTCACATTTCGGTATTATCTTTTTAACTCTAAGTCTGCCAATCTTCCAAAACAAAGGAATGTAAAATTTCCAAAAGAAATGCACATTCACAACTAATGACACTGCCTTTTTTTTTTTTTTTTTTTAAATATGAGCACTATCATTTCTGTAAACTTATCTTTAAGATGTTTTCTTTCCAATTGGTATTGTACATTTTTAATGTACTATAGCTTATTTAGCTTGTCCTGAGTCTTTGAAAATAACCAATTCTATTTCAGTCCAACAATTCAACTGGCTTCTGAAGAGTTAAAACATGAACAGAATTTAAATGGATTAAACACAATCAGTACTTGATTTTTTAAAAATCCCCCCTCTTAAAAAGCAAAAGAAAAGCTGCCATTTTCCTTCAGAATTACATGCATCAGAAACTAAAAACCTGCAATTGATTTTTTTTAAATGTTTTTGTTTCTGTTTTTCTTTTAAAACATGCAAAACTTGTGTTTAAGAGGTACTACAGGTAAAGTTTAACTTCACATTTTACTTTACCTTGGTTGTCAAGTCCAAGCTTATTGCTTGATAAAATAAATACCTTTCTTATGGTAATATCTTTAACATTTTCAAATTAAACAATCACTAAGGGCTACAGTAAATAGCTGATGTACACCAGAAGAAAAACAGCAGGTAAAATTTCTTATCCATGGAGAACATGACCTCAATTTTGTGGCACAGAATTAAATATATTCATATGTGGCACCCGGTCCCACTGAAGCACAGGAGAGTCTCCCATAAGCTTTACTGGGAGCTGGGCTTGGGTACTTTGACATGGAATTGTTTATGTATTTGCCAGAAGAAACTGCTATGTGAAAAGAAGGCTCAACATTTAACATGATTCAGATTCTAAGTTGTTTTATGCATAACAAACTTTTTTTTTCTGTTTACTTTTTTTTTTTTTTTAATAACCTGCACTAGCAGAGCTTGAAACACTGTCCTGAACGTGCCCTCTTGTTTTATTTTAGTTTTCAAACAAACCTTTTTTTTTATTTTTTTTTAAACTTATGTGTCAGTGAGATTCTCAGTGACACCATTTGCACCTTTTTATAAAGGTTATTTTACAAAATCACCTTTCCCTGAACATTAAAAATACAATGAAAATACAAACCTTAATTTCAAAAGAAATTACATGGCCAGCAGTAAGTGCACAGTGAACCATAACAGCCTCCTCTTACTTTAATGAAGGCAAGATGCTTTAAAAGTATCCATCAATGCTTTGATTTATTACTCAGAAAACTTACTTTGTATAATCAAAAGGGACAGATACAGAACTTTTTTTAATCAGTGCTGAAAACTGACTGTAACTGCAGAACCCTCTGCTTACATCTACATGATGTGAAATGCTATATTAAAACAGAACCTGAGCCCCTCAGCTGCTAATATTGCTGAAAGTGCTCCAAATAAAATAAAAATCACTTATCTGCTAAATTAACTTGCAGATTTAAAGAAACCTAGAGCCAAATGTTTAAAAAAGACACAGTTTACATTTTTCTGCTCAAGTTGTGAAATGTTGCATACAGAGCTTAGGTAAAGATCTTGATTTGTCAATCACACACTTAGGTAGAGTCCTCCACTGGCCTTAAGTCCTTGATGTAGCATTAAGGCCAGCAGAATAACACAAGCTGCTGTGCTTCAGTGCACTGCAGGACAGTATTGTATATTCAGTATCATCTTCTTCAGTACCCCACCTATTATACGATTAGCTACCAGGCAGTACGGAAGACAGGGTGTTTCAGCAGCTCCCTTGAGGGGGGTCTGTCCTGAGGCTGAAGCTCTAAACACCGCAGAGTCACATCTCTCAAACCAGGAGACAGATGTGAAGGGATTGACGGAGCAGTAGTTGCACTAGCAATCTGAACAAAGGGAAAAGAGGTTTTATGAAGTCAGTACTTCTAGAAAAAGAAACTCAAAAGATGCCTTGACAAGCTGATAGTTTTCAGCTGATCTCAATTATACTATGAGCTTTTATTCAACATAGGAGAGTCCCTACTGCAGTTTCTCTGCAAGTTACATTGCATCCATTTTACAAAGTTCACTTTTTGGGTCTCAAGTTCCCTTTATACCTCCTTCAATAAGATATGCTCTCTCCTGCTTTTCATGGTCTCTGTCTCCCTCCTTGCATTTTCTCCAACTTTTCTTCCTTTAGCAAGATTCTACTGTAAACACCTGCTGAACACAGGAAATACTGTTTTGCCACAGCTAGGGGTATTCATTAGTCTTCTACTTGACACTATGTTAAGTGCAATCACTCATGTAGATACATTAAACTAAGGGATATTATGTTACGGTATGTTAAGCTGGGAATGCTCTTTCATTATATTTACTGTATTTCTGCTACCACCACATGGTAGAATCTCTCTCAGATGGAAGCAGCTCATGCTCTAAATCGATTTCTTTTTCCTTCAACATTTTCCCCGTCCTCTACATCAAGTTGAGAAAGATGAAACTTTATAGGGAACACCAGGCTGACACCACAGGATTCACACAAACACAGAACAGAAACACTTAAATATCTTATCACAAGTGATTTGTACTTAATTAGATATCAATGGATATTGCTATGCTTTGTTTTGTGGAAGCATTTTCTTCATTCATGCCTGCTGTTCAACTAGATTTTTAAAAATAAATGTACCTATTTGATTTTAGTAAGAAACATGCATGCCAAAAACAGGTGAAAATATAATATTTACGTGTGGCATATCAATAGTAAACAGCTAGTAGCAAAGTCTGGATGCTAGTATCAGGTTTCAAAGGATATTCCCAATGGGAAGCATGTATTTACTGACAGGTTTTTTTTTTAAGCAAGCAAAAATGATTGTGCGTGTTATCAATAGTGACTTTGTACTAACAGCTCCAGAGCAATTGTAACAGTTTCTGCTTCAAAACTTTCTTAAGTTGACATTACTTTACATGAAATTAAGACTGAGTGTCCTCTGTAGTATATTTGTAGCATCAAAGTAGTACCTCACCTTAAATATCAGGGCCAGGTGATTGGAGTGTTTCTCTGCATTCCAAGGAGGTTTAGCACAAGCCATTTCTATCACAACGCAGCCAACGCTCCACACGTCGCAGCTCCTACCGTACTGCTGACCTCTCAGAACCTGCACAGACGAGTCCAAGTTCAGGTTAAGCATTCCCAAAGTCTCCATCTCTGGTTTTTAAGTATCTAACTGCTGCATACACAATCAAGTGCATTTCAATTACACTTTGGGTTAACAGCATGACTAGTGACATATGCAAGTAATATTTCTACACCTCTACAGTAAAGAAATTGGGAAGTAGAGGACCAGATCAAGGGACAAAGCATCTTGCACTCACTAGCTTTAGACCCAATTGTAAATTGTGCTTTAGTAACAATACGCACGATCTATCTCACAACAAGCTGTCAACATGGGAATAGAACAACACGGAAAGAACAACATGGGAAGCAAGAAGTATCCTTTATGCCATGTATCATTCCCATTCTTTCGGGCATGTACATTTAAAATACATCTGAAACATTTACATCAGGTTCCTCTGACTGAATGAGTTAGTGTAGAGCTCAAACACTTTGTTGCAACTTCCAAAAGTGGTTTCTTACCTCTGGTGCCATAAATGCAATTGTTCCCAACAACTGCCCCTGAAACTCCCCAGCACCAGTTCCTTTAGATGCCAGCCTGGCTGCAGCTCCAAAATCAGCAATTCGTAATCTATGACCCATGCTGTCAATTAGCAAATTGGCACCTGTCAACAGCATAATAATAAAAAAAATTAAACAAAAACTGCTAGTTGGCTTGATCAAATGCAAAAGAATGGACAGACAACCTTCCTCCCTCCACTTCAAAATTGTCAAAATGTGATATTCCCCACCTTCCAGTAGCAAGGAAATCTAGAAATGAGGGACAAAGTACCCTACTTTTCTGCTATGCCTGAATGATGCTACACCCAGCTTGAGGCCATCTGAGAGATTTAGAGAAGCAATCAAACTTTCAAAGTAGGGCAAACATGGGATTCTGGAATGATGCCTGGAACTGTGGGAAAGGAAAAAAACAGCAATCTAAAACCCTAGAGGTTTTCTCTGCCTGCTGCTCCCAATGAGGTTTAAACTTTTTATCTGATTCATAGGTAGCCTTCCAAGTTCTCTTAAAAGGAAGTTAGAGGCATAAAGAGCTTTGCCATTTTAAGTAAAAATTAAAGAAAGGCATAAGTTTGCCATCATTGTGTTGCTAGTTATCTGGATCTCTCTGTTTCATGAAGAGTTACAGTGACATTAAAGTTAATAAAAGTTTGAGACTTCTCAGTAAAGTCCAAATTTAGTTGTTAAACTAAGTCTTAAATATGCAAAAACTCAAGCTAAAACCAAGAGTTCATATAGTATTAACAGGCCATAAGTATCTCACAAGCAAAACTCCTCCAGAGTATTTCTATGCATTAAAAACCTGACCTCTTTGGTAATTTGATATTTTATTTGAACTAATCCAAAAGTCAATTTTCCTAAACCCTTGAACACAGGTAGCAAATATCCTCAAATATACTAGAAGCATTCTGACTAATTATCATAGATTAAAGGTTACGTATGATGAGACAAATCCAACAAAAACACTACCCTTGAAACAGTAGCCAAGAGAACAGGTCTTAACAGGAAAATACATGCCGATTTCTGAATACTACTTGACATTAGAAATAATTTTTACCTTTAACATCTCTATGGATTATCTGATTCTCATGGAGATAAGAAAGGCCACGTAACAGCTGTTCTGTATAATTAATAATTACAGATTCCTTGAAGGCTCCATATTTACTTAACAAATGAGCAACTGAGCCTCCTAGAAAATAAAAGTGATCAATATAAATGTTGATTAAATTGTGAGATTATTAGAATGCAGCACTGCCTCCTAAAACGGGAGTCCAATACTGGTTATTTCTAATTGACAACTACCCTTCCTACCCATCCCCACAAATATATCGAAGAATTCCATAGGCAAAGAGTAAAACACTCAATTACTTATATTCTTCTCTGTAGAAAGGAGCTAAGTTTCAAAAGCACATCTCTGTGCTTCCTAATTTCATCTGTGTTAAAGTGCAATGCTTTATTTTGTAGCAAATAAGGATGTATAAAATACCATATCTGGTCACTTTGTAGAGTAGACAAACTCAAAATATTATGTATCTTTCAAAATTAATAAAGCTCCATCTTAAGGTATATGAACTTTCTCATCCCCTGCTCTATGGAATAATTAGAAGATCTCACTATTGCTGAATTACCACTTAATAGAATTACGATACGATTTGAATGGTTTCTTCTTGAAGATTCTTTTATACAAGGTCAAATGCCTTTATATGTTCTCTCACACAATTCTTATGAAAATGTTTGGGAATAAAAAAAGTGACAGGCATTCCAAACTTTCAAGCAAAATTACTTTTAATAATCATTTAAGATCATGCAGCTATAATGAAAATTATATAGCTTAAAAATATATCAGACAAGGCTCCCTCCCTACTCTCTTAGATTCAGAAATCCAAGCAACTAGTAGAATTTTTGCTCAAGGTTTCCAATTATATTAGATGTATGACGGATTAAGTATGGAAAAGTCCAGATTAAAAAAAAAGGGAAAGGAAAGAATAACACTTAAAGCAATAAATGTTCTGTAAACTAAATATGTAAGCTCATTAACAATGGCAATGAAGACGCTAATAAATTTCTGAATGGAAGTGATACATGGAATATTTTGCAGTGTTAAAAATTGCAGCGTGAAACAACCCAACTCAAGATTCAACTTGTGCTTTCATTTTCTTTAGCACTTGATGCTCTTTACCTGCCATCCATTCAATAAAGAGATTATAGTTGCTCTTCTCACATGTAGCACCCAACATTCGAATAATGTTAGGATGGTTTAGATGACTCATCATCCTTATCTCTTCTCTCAGTGCTTCAACTACCTCTTCTTGCTCAGACAATGTGTTCCGGACATACGTCACCTGTTTCAAAAATACTGTTATCTAGATTTACCTTTCATAACTGGTAAACCGAGTCCTATAACCACCCCCTGCTTCTCTACTGTAGTATCAGTTGTTCGCCCCCAGCTGACCATCTGGAACTTGCAAACTTTTTTACTCTCGAGGCCCTTCAACTGAGAACACATCTCCATGCAAGATGGTCATAAGAATATAGGAATCTCTCCTAGGAAAGGAACATGCGTATTTGGAGCTTTTTCCCCAGGCACATCTTAAATTAAGTGCTTAGATATGAAAATACTTGCTTTTCAAAGCAGAGGAAGCAAGCAATAACCTATATTTTCCATTTTAAAGAAGTTTTAATATAAAATCTTCACAAGTAAACGATGGGAAATTACTTTCATAGCAAATAGGGCATAGCTTGGAATAAAGAGATTTTGGTTTTCATTCTTAACTCTGTCAGATTTGTGACCTTGATAAAAGGAAAAAATGCATTTAAAAATATATGAAGGCGCTATATAAAAGGCACAGTATTTTTTCATTTTAAAGGGAAAAATACTAATATTGTGCATATAATGTGTATTAGGCAAGTACACATGCAACAGTAGGCAGAGGAAGTAGGGTACAATCTGTGAAACCATATAGCTTTTATAATTAATATTCCAAATAAATATTTAGAAACAAGTAGGAAAAAAACTCAAGAAAGTATTTACCTGTTTTACAGCCATTAATGTCCCTGTTCCTACATCTTGAGCTTGGTAACAGGAAGAAAAAGCTCCAAGGCCTATTTGCTGCCCTTTAAGCCATTCCACATCTTCTCTGTAATGGTGCTTTGCTTTGGTATGTCCAGGCAGAGTTTCTGGTGTCTGGAAATTAAATTCAAATTAATTCCATGTTTACCAGCATGCATCTAAAATTTAAACATTCTAGAAGGAAAGACTCAAGCCAGTAAGCTTCTCCTCTCCCTTATGGAGATTTGTACTGCACATCATACACATTTCACTTGAGATCACAACATCAGTTTTCTATAACTCACATACTCTCACTTTATTTAAAAAAGAGCCTCCTCTAACTTACTAACTCCTGCCTTGTCCCCTGCCTAAGTAGTTAAACCAACCTTTCTGTAAACTAAAAACAACTAAAAAAACCCCACACCAACACACTCTCTCCTTTCTCTCTATTCTTATCACTTTTACTTTTGTCCATTTACTAGCAAGTAGATCTTTCTTCAAAATTCTAAAGTATCTCATAGGCTATCTCTCAAGATGTGCTGGCAAAGTAATCTCCTCCTACACTATCTCTTCTTTCTGATATAATTTGGTTTTACATGATTGCCTTCAAAAGTAAGTATTACAACCCCATATTTTTTTTATTCCTGCTTAAAAACATCATTCTCATTTCCTGGGTTTCTCTGCTTAGAGATTCTCTATTGCTTTCAGCATTTATTTTTGTATCCTGCTTCTGTTTTTGCTTGTTTACTTTGACATCTTCAAGGCTGGTACAGGATAAGATACCACTCTTCCAAATACCTTCTCTAAACTTTTTAGCAACAGCTATGGATTGATTCTGTTAGTACCATGCACTGGCAGGCTCTTTACACTAAAATATTTCTCTTCATATGCACATTCCAATTTCTAGGAGAAGGCACTAAACCTCTGTATTTGTTTAACATTATAAGTACAACAGCACGGCTTTATAATTTATTGAATCACAATTCAAACAAAGTCAAAGTCTCTATGTTAAATTTCTAGTTTACTTTCCTGCTGAATAATTATGATATCTTCACCATTTTCAACCTGTAGTTGGGGGACTATTGGTAGGGCATCTTGAGATGCAGACATTGCCATAGCAATAGCTAAAGCTTCCTCCTCTTCAGCTTCCATCTTTTCCTTGCATTTTTGGTTATGACTTACATCGTCTTTGTACGTATCATCATTTTCTGCCCACTCAGGAGAAAGCACTGCAACTTCAGACTTGAATGTAACTGTGCCATCACTCGTTGGCATGGAGGCCTCAAGTAGATCCTCAATACTGGAATTGAGTTCAGCATTAACATCCAGTCGACTTTTCTCATCCACCGGTGTGGACACCGTCTCTTCACTCGGTATAACCACACTGCTATTGTTGCTGCTGCCCTCACACTGTGAAATATCATTCAGGTCAAGCGTCATACTGTTTTTTGATGTTTCTCCCTGCTTGTTCACATCACCCAAGGTGGATAGAGATGGCTTTGGCCTGTGTATGTGAC